AGCCTCTTGACTAGCCCTTTTCTCAAGTTGTCTAACACCTTCTGTGAATTTTTCTTTCATAATACATAAAATACATAAAATGTATTATTTGCATTTACTGTTGTTTGGTTGTGCCTATAATAGTAAATAAAACTATGTTGGTCTTCCTATGCATTTCTGAGCAGCCCTTCTGACAACCTGCTTTGGCATGAGATGTGTTCTGCTGGCTCTTGTAGCCATAGAGTTGCCTCCATCATAGCATGAGAATACGTATTTTCCAAGTGTCAAGTAAGAAGGGTGAACAGCAACTTCTATTCTATAACTGCAGCCTAAATACCTAAAATGTCAGTGTGGAACTCTTACTGGGTTAATTCACATTTGCAAAAGGACTGATGCATGTTTACTGCCCTTCACTGCACCTACTATCTATGAAGTCTCAATAAATAAAAATACCTTTGTCTAACACTGGGACTCACAACCAGGAAGTTGTAACCAGTTCAGTCCATTTCACCTCAGCATGAAGTATCTTCACAGAAGTTCTAACACAAGTTTTAGTTCACCTCCAACAAAATGCAACATCCCTATATGGATAAAGAAATCACCAGAGGAGGAAACTCAATTCTTTAAACATTTCTTCTGATTGCTTGACACCGTATGGTTGAGGATAATGGAATCCAAATTGCATCTCATGGCCATTGAATCCTTAGGAGTCTCAAGGGTGATATTGGGACTTCATTACTACTTTAGTGTTTATCCACCAGAAATAATTTTAGATTATACAGAATCTTGTCATATAATTGGACTCTTACCCCTCCACCACAGGGAAATCTTGACTGACATGCACCTGCATAAATTCTCATGCCATACTATACCTGCCTGAATTAGAGGTTTGTCTGCAGATTGTGAGCTACTTAAGAAATCCTCCTTTTAACTTCTCTGACTACATGAGATTTCCAAAATTCCATTTTCCAGTGGTAAAACACAACATGTACGAGGGGATGCCACATTATCCTTCACTCTGCCCAGGCCAGTTGGGACAGATATTACTTCTGTACTTCAGGCTAGCAAATGCTAACATAGTAGCGCTACTGTTCTTCAAACACACCAGAATAAGTCAGCCTCCAGGTGGTCAGTTTGTCATGCAGCATACTGAGGGATTTTTTTGTCTCAGGCATTCATAGTAGGTGTAAATTATCATGGACACAACTTCTGCATACTACATCCCATTAAACATGGCTTGGCTGGCTCAAGAACTGCTGCATCATGTGTTGGATTTGTTTTCTGAGCACATTAAATATTCTGTCATAGAATAGCCTGAGTTACTTTATTATATTGAAACGTTTCATGTCAGATCAGATATTCCTAATGTACTTCAGTTACCTGGGATGGGGAATATCATAAAATTGACCTTTTTTTTCCTTCAATACCATCAGGTACTCTCAGATCATTGTTTGCACTCCAGTTATGTCCTGTTGGGGACACTTCTCCTTAAGTGATCAAAAGGCTAGTAGGATAGGCTTTTCCTCCCCTTCCACATGTTTGGGGCACAGTAGTTTCCATGGACATTCTTAACTTAGTGTAACTAAAGCATTAGAATTGTTTTTCAGTGCATCCAAGACTGTCTCTCCCCAAAAATTACTTTTAAGAGCAGACCCTGTGCCATTTTGATAATTACATTTACATAGCATAGGATTGGTCCTTGCATACAGGTTCTCCTATACTGTGGGGAAGTGTATTTACTTAGCAAAACGGAACAGGGCCTCAAACTGCAGTTATTAAGTTTTTTTCACAGACACATCCTGGGCATCCATCCCAGTTGTTTTGGAGTATCTGATAGAACGAAATGTCTGCCCTCTCCTTTAGTCCACCTGAGGCTCACACAGCCAACGTTTATGGTACCAGTTCAGTTCAGTGCAGTTCACAGATCACACCAGTCCTTCTTGTATCCTGACTTATCTACCCAAGTACTCTCTTTTTTCCTACTCATTAACTACCAAGGTGCTGTATTGGATGTCTACAGAGTTTATATAAATAAATATACATATTAAAAAATATATACATACAGCTTCAGCTGGCCATTCTTGTCTACCAGGAGACAAGAGGCTTAAATCTACCAGGAGACAATAACACAGGCTTTCATGTGTTCACATTTAACTGTTCTTAAATTTGTTAAGATACTGGACAAGTTGTACTCAGTAATGAGCACCCTATTCTACTGTAGGAATTGAATTTGCTGTCTGTGATATTTGTAGGATTGCAGTTCAGGTCTGTGGTGACTTTTTTGCTGCTACAGTTAGCCTTTACCACGTCTTCCACTCTGCAAGAATGTCTACTCGGGCACCAAAGCTGATTCTTGGTACAAAACATTCTTGCTAAAAAAATAGGCTTTACAAATCCATTTCAAGTTTCCTCTCAAAGTGTTTTCTAATATTAGATTAACCTAGAAATTAAATTAAATTACCTATTTCCTTCCCTAAGTCTCACATATGTAGTATCACAGCACCTTGGCTGTCAGCCATCTGTAACACTGGATGTAAGGCAAAAGGAGGGAAGAGCTTCTCTGTGTTTGTTCACTAACCCAAAATTTTTAAGACAAATCCAACACTGTGTAAGTAAAAGTTTCACAGGCCTGGACATATCCACAGAGGGATCATGTACCTCACTAATCAATTTAATAAAGATATGAGAAATGCACTCCATCATTAGGATGTGCTTCACTAGAACTCACTGTATGCACCGTCTTGCAAGAAATGTCTTCGTCCTTGGAGTTTGCAAAGTGAATACCTGGAAATATATTTACTGCCAAACATTATACAGCCACAAGGTCTTCTGCTGTCACTGCTTACAAAAAATTTATATATATCCAAGTAACTGACTGGATAGGAAAATCCTGCTTGAAGGAACCCACAGAGGATACTCATGTATGTAAAAACTCTAAAATAGAAAAGTTAAATATCATTAACTGGAGTTTCCTGAAGTGTGTTGGCCTTTTACATATTCACTCTCCTTTCTATTCCACCTTGCCCTCTCATTCCTTCTCCTTCAGTCTGGGAAACTTTTGGCTTCAGCACTTCTGGTAAACACTAGGACTGCTTCACTATCAAATCATAACTTGTAGCACTGAAATCCTAGATTCAGGTTGTGCAAACAACTATAGGTGCAGATACTCTTCTACTGGACCTAGTCCTTCAGTTGTTCTGGACATGTGAAGAAGCAAAACTCTAGAATCTGGAGAACTTCCAGGAAGGTTACTCCAAGGATACCTTGTAGTTTGTGGGTTTCTTTTCCCTAAGTCATAGTTTAGACTTGCATCTGATTTCTGCCCAAGACCTATATTGAGTTTAATTATTCACTCTTTGTTCAATCAATTTGAAAATAGTTCCTGTCCTCAAAGACTATTTAAATATGTACTTCAATATATGCTTGTTTTCTGAGCTAGTAATAACTGTGTAACTGTGTAGTAAATAAGTTTAACAGAAATAAAAACATAGAATGAGTAAAAATTAATCTAAAAAGAAGAAAGGAAAAAACCTGAAAAGGTGGAGGAATTAACTAAACACAAAATATGAAAATGATAGTGTAATAACACTATTTCCATTATAGAATGAAAACAGAAGAACCTGAAAAAATATAAATAAGTAGAATAAAAAGAGTAGAGTGAAACGATACTGAAAAACATACAACAGTGTGAGTCTGAAGAATGCAAGATGTGGAAATTTCTATACTTAGCTCTAACAACTGTGCATTTATCAGCATTTGCGGGAAAAAATCTAGTCTGATAAAGTTTCAAATTTCTTGGGGCCTTTGCAAGATTTATCTCCTGAAAAAAAATGTAGAGAGAACCTTCTAAATGTTTATGTTCCTTTAAGTATAGAAGAAATTTTCTGATATTTGGCATTTTCCAAAAAGAGCCTACTCAAATTAACTCTCCTGTTCAATATCTGTGCTCTCTATTTGTAAAATTGCAGTGTGCTGTAAAAGTTTTGTGGGCTGACTGTAAACATCTTCTATTGAACAGTGTTATTCCAAACTTCTTTTCCTTGTTGGTAACCACAGCTCTTTATAAGCCATATGTTACTGTTGTTTTATAACACTTATTTGAGCATTAAACATTGCAGTCAGGAACAGTTTCTGACATACTGCTTTTTTTTTATATTTATGTGTATCTCAGTTTTAGATAATGTTAAAACATTGCTAAGTTTTCTCTGTAAAAAGGTTAGGATGACACAAATAGCAGCAATTTTAGATAACGTTAAAACATTGCTAAGCTTTCTCTGTAAAAAGGTTAAGGTGACACAAATAGCAGCAAACACAATTCAAGAAACGTGGACACATTTACTGCATATTTAAGGACAATAATATAACGTTATGGTCAACGTTAACTTTGAGAGAGTTGTCTCATGAGGGACACACACCAACAATCAGACAGTTTTTAAATCTCAACTAATACTTCTAATTAAATTCAGAGGTTTTCTACTAGTATTTACACTTCTGATTTTTTCTAGTAATTTTGCTGGCCGAGTGCCCTTATAACAGAAATTCTTCACACTTTTGCGAAAAAAAGGAAAAGATATTTTCATGTATTCATAGGTCTCAAGACAAGTACTCTCAGTTCTGCTATTGCCTTCACCACATTTCAAACATCTGGTCACTCTGATTCATGTAAGCAATTTCTGAAGAAACACGTTAAACACGTTAAAGATGACAAAAATGCCAATAAATTATAAAAGCATAATTTAGAGAAAAAAATGATTTCTAGGTATAAATAACTGTAGATCAACAGAATAAAGTATTTAAGAATGTTATTATTTCATATTTTGTGACTGAAAGATTTATACTTATGTGAAGCGTGTTTCCAAATGTCTTGTTTTCCGCCACTAGAGGGTAGTCCAAGAACTTACAGTATGTTTGTAGCAAGGATGTATTTGGGGTCTTTTGGTCTGCAAATGATTGTACTGTTGTCATACTAAACCTTAGGAATTTAACCCCCTAGAAGCTTGATATTAAACAAGTTTCAAAACCAGTCTAATATACCTTTTCAGCAAAATAGTGCAATATACCGGATTTATAAGGAACATCGACTGACATGTAGTTTAGATTTAGTTAAACGTATTGTACTTTTAAATTAACTAAATTATCTTTTCTTTGTTTCAGACACAATTCTCTGGTTCACATCCTGTTTCTTCATCCAGATTTGGACACGGCATTCCGTTATTGGCAGGTTGAAGAAGAACAAAGCGAGTTCTGATCTTGGTCCCTGTTTTTCTGCAAACACCTCTACAGAGACCCCAGGAAGACCATTGTGAAACCTCACAGTCCAGTGGTGTTTCTGCAATATACACAATAATAAGGTAACTTTACAAAAATTCGTGCTTAAGGAAAATACATATTTGACAAAGTATTAAAGAATTATGATCAAATAATGTCCTATCTCATGCAAAAATGCATGACATAATAATAAAATCCATGTCTCATAAATAAAAACATATCATCAACAACTTTTCAATACTAAAAGGGTTATTCAATCTAGTTTTAATTTACTGCAAGAATGGAAGTCAGAAACTCCAAAGTACTTTTTGTAATGTATACTTCTGTGCAAAATCTCTCTTATAAAAATACAGATGACTATTCCTTAGCAGGATAAATAAAAATATCGCTCATCACAGGAAATTGCATCAAAACTCTGTATTACAGCATTTGAGGCTAAAACAGGTGTGCACAAAACCAGCTTTAATTGCTGTACTAAATGTTTGACCTCTGGTATAAGTTTTATTACAGTGAAACTCACCGTTTCTGTTGTGATCACTCATTCCCATGCTTCTAGAGGGAATGAGGGACACAGTTTGATCTCAAGTAGTTAAATCTGTCCTTTGGATTCTATAATATGTTTTTAAATAGACTGATTTACTGCTTAACATACAGTGAAGTGGGGCCTTGTGATTAAAAGTGATTTTTGAAATACATACTTTAAATGTATATCCTGAAGAGGGCAAAATGTTTCTTTCAAATGTTGTGGAAAAGGCATGAGATAAGCAGCACTCACTTTGAATATATCTTTTTTTACTAATAGAAGTAAACTAAATCATTAAACGTTGACAGATAAATACATTTATTAAAGTATAAATGATGCACTATTAACTATGTAGGAAATTAGCTTTATTTTAGTGATCGTGAGGTGACATCAGCACAGAGATAGAGGCACACAGTCTTCAGCCATGGAGAAACTCTTGGAACATGGTAGCTCTTCTCAGAATATATTGGGGATTTAGCCTATTACTATCTCTCAAATAGTGTTTAGGATGTCAGCCTAATCTTACACTTTGTAAAATCTCACTAGAAAAGTATAAAGAGAAAATCTCAGAGGACACTATCCAACTGCTATTCTTCCATTAGAGCAAATACTATGTTAATTATGTATCTATTAATTTGGAGATTTGAAAATGACCATTAAGACTGACTTAAATCAGTAGTTTGCACGTCTTGCTACCTACACAAGGTTATTAGCTAATATTTTGAAGAAAAGTAAAATGAGCAAGAGCTTTATTTTTGTGGTCAGGATGTATTTCTACCACAAATATGTCCAAATTAATTGAATTATATCAATTCTTATTGCACATAGCTATCAAGCTCTGCAACATGGGAAAAGACAACAATAATAGTTCTTTTGCTCCATCATCAAGTAAAAACTTAAGGATTAATATTTACTTCAAAGTTGCAAAGTATTCAGGGACACAGTGGTGGATGTAGTATCGCTAGGTTAAAGGTTGGACTTGATGATCTTAAAGTTATTTTCCAACCAAACAATTCTATGAAAAAGTGTCATCTATTTCTCATAAAATTCCCTGATCTGTGCTGATACTAAAGTTCGAGTTCCTCTTACTGTGGAGATATCCCAAACCTTTGAATCATAGCTCAAAAATGCAACCCCTTCCTTATTTTTTCAGGGTGTCTTATTCATGTCAGCTGGCTTATTTTATTTCTCATGTGTGACTCTGGAATCTAGTCTTATGCAGACAGGAGACTATTCTACCTGATGCCTTCTTTCATCCATGTCACCTGCCAGATTTCCACATACCTTCTGAGTAAATGGAAATAACAGAATTGAGCATAACAAAATACCAAACACTTACCTGAGATAGAGTCTATTACTTCATTACTTTTAGCTGGAGGATTAACATAAGGTGCAGAAAGACCCAGTTGGTTTTTCTTTATTTTGACCATTGTTACCTGAGCAATAGGTGGTAAATTTTTGAGTTTGGGATAGTAAAATGAGTTTGCTGGGTGACTTGGAGAGGAACAAGTGATCTGTGAAATAAGAAAGGGAACCTTAAAGAAACTACAGCATATTGTTAAGAAGATAAGTGTAAAATCATGTTTGCACATCATGCTAATACTTTTTGGGAAGTAAAATGCATATACTCAGTTTCTATGGACCTCTGTTCACACAACTACTGCTGGCAATCCCCGATTTTTAATACACGATGCTTTGAGATTTGGCACAACGAATTGTGACCACCTTTGGAAAGAGGGCTGTGATGGGAGACACTAAACACACAAGCGGTGTATGGTATGGTTTGATGGAAAGAAGTGAGGGTTTTTACAAGGAAGAGTACAAGAATCTTAACTAATAATATTAGGTACGCTACAGCAGCTGGTGTATGGATATAGGAGCCCAAATTGTTTTCCAGCTTCTCTGTTCCTTTTCTCATTACTCATTAGTGCAGCATTTGGCTCTATAAAAACTGACCTTAAAGAAAGGATTAACTGAATGCTCATAGTATTCAAAACATTTGAATCAAATTCCTCTCCTCACCCTTAAATGACAAAAAGCAAAGTATGAGGCATGTAGAGTATCGAGCGAGGAAAAGAGATTGAAATTGGGGTCACCACAGTAGCGATGTTCTCTGCTTTCCCCTAACTCCTTTTCATCAGATGTAACAGTTTCAGGTTTCAGCAATGCTTTTGATTGAAAACTCCTCCACACATCAGTATTCTCTACTAAGAATTTTCCTTTTTAGATTCATATATAGTTTTTTACATATACAGAATATATATTACATAATCTGTGAATCCTTTTATTTTCCTGGTGCTTTAAGAATTGTTACAAATAGTCTAAAAACAGTGAGCTTTTGTAGAAAATACTTTAAATGTACAGCCAAATTTTCCTGAACCATCTACATTTACCTAGTAACTTTGAAAGATGCAGAAAATAAACAAAAGCAGTAGGATTATCAGCTATAGAATAAATCCATATACTGAGAGCATCAGCAGTCTTGAATACTGAAGTCAGATTCATTAGAGTCTATTGTGTAGTCATGGAATAGTTATCTTTTAAAGGGAGAACTCAAAACACACAGGTATGAAGTGCTGAACTATGTGTATACACATACCTCTGTAACTGTGTCCTGTGGAATAGTGGCAAAGTTTGGGGAGGAAAACGTGAACCCACTATCAGTTCCAGCGTCATATGGAAACAGATCAACCGATACTTCTTCCATCCAGTGGTCTCCTTCGCAGAGATTTAGGCTGTCAATACCCACAAACCAGTCGGGGCTTGGAACAATTCGTACAACAAATGAAACCTAACAAAACAAAATGATCCATCAGGATTGCATCACTCATTTGGAAACGCTCCAGTCCTGCTTTAGGAATTTTAACTGAAAATTTTTGAAAGGAATGTCACTATGCTCTTCTGCTTTATTGAATGATACAGGACTCCCTGCAATGTGGCATGCTTTTCAGTAACTTTTTGTATTGTATTTTTCCTACAAGTGAGAAATATTTAATTTGGGGTGCTAGGGACATAAAATAAACTTTTAAAATTAATATGCATATTTACTTACTAAAGGATGTCTTGAATGCGCTTCTAATTCAGTGGAGGTTTGTCCTGTACCACTGGAAATGGCAGGAGCAGAGAAGATTCCATGTACACTCTGAATTTTCTCTCCAGCTTCTTCTATTTCTTTCATTAATACCCATGCTTCACCCTTTTCAGCAAAATCACGTACACCATTGCTGGCATATTCATTTTTTTTCCACATGCTGTAGTCAGAACTATGAGTAACACCTATTTGAGTGAATACATGGCATGACATAAAAGTCTGGTTTAGATTGTCCCTATTTCTTAATTTTTTCTGTTTTACTTCTGAGGTTAAAAAAAAAAAAGTGAATAAAAATGAGTGAACACTAAAACATTTGGCTTATCATTGCTTATTTCAGCTGCAGCCAATTAAAAACAGAAGTCAATTGAAAACAGTTGTAGATTTTTGAAAGCATCGTGAATGCTTCAGTTTCTGCATTTCATATAATAACTTTGGCTTTTTTTTTTTTTTCCCTTCCTCATTACTTATCTTTAAATTCACTATTAGGAAGAAAAGAAAAAAAATCACAGCGGTCAGGAAATTTATCTACTTTTAAGACCATGAAGGCTTCACTTACCTAGCATTGACGACCACTGTGCTGGGGGCCTGTAGAGCGGGTACTGCTTAGGGAAAGCAGTCTGACTCCATTTCCCTGTGAAGATTATGCTGTACTTAGCAAGTTCCTCTGCTGTGCAAATAGAATCGTCACCCACAGGCAAGCTGCTGGCATAACCTAATATTGTCACAAGTAAGGTCCAGATAACTTTACAGGAGCGGTAGACAAGCATCAGGTTTTCCATTCCTTTCCACAAAAAGAAAAAAAAAAAAAAGTTAGCCATATTAGTCACTCTAAACTCAAAACTGAGTAACGGTTACCTAATAAAATGTAGCATATTGTAAGTTAAGACCTAAAAGAAATTACATCTCTGAAACATTAAAAATTATTATGCTTCTAAAAGCATTATTACAGTGCTTTCAGATTTGATATTTCCATGCTATATACTACAAATCTGTAACGCTACCTGGGACAAGTGTTTCTCATGAAAATAAAAATATCTTAACCTTGTACATAGCACTGCCTCTGAGAAAAATCTGTTTCTGATTTTCTTTTGAAATCTTATTACAGTCACATCTTGAATTAATTAGAGTAGCAACTGTTTCTGTGGAAAACATTAGTGGCATATTTATTCTTTTAAAGATTAAATTACATGTTACTTTGCCAAAAGAAATGATTTATTTTAAATTTGTGTTCTACAAAGACCATTTTATGGCATAACATTTAAAGTCAAATACATTTCATAGTTATATAAATTACTTTGCTGTCATAACTTGTGCATTAAAAAATCCATTGTAATTGCTTCAGATTCTTTAAGCTGCACAGTTGTCAAAAACCCAATATTTTTAAAAAGTTGCTGTCATAGGTTGTGCAAATTTTGCTTTTAAATTAATATGGTAATTGCATCAGGCTGTTGTTGTACTCCAGCTATTGTTTAAAATAACAGTCTTAAAAACTTGTATTTAAATGCTTTTGTCCTTTGAGAAAACTATACAAATATAACTAAATCGTTAATAATGTATTAATTTGTAAAAAGAGCTGTGAATACTCACTAAATATTTCCTCTGGAGCACTGGTAGGGGGAGAGCACCTGCTTTTGCTGGCAGCTGAGTTGGTCTGCAAGAGAGGACAGTAGGAGTCTTGCTATTTATGCCTGAAGAGGGTCCCTTTGGTCCAGCAATTATTGTACTCTCTTTAGACTTTCCAGGTTTGCAAAAAGCATGCCATCTTCTTGCCTGCAATCTTTTTGGATGGACTGTCAGAGGTTTCCTGTCTGACAACTGGTTCAGGTTCCTATCAGAAAACTGTGATGCCGAATAGACGACAGGCTTTAAAAAAATACCTTGGATTCTTCGTAAGAGTTCGAGTTTTCTGGTGCGTTTACAGTTCTCTGCTCTTATTAATGCCTCCAAGCTATACAAATGAACTGATTCCAACACTGGAATAGTTTTACTGAATACATTTTAAATGAGAAGCATGTTTTCTTGTAAGTTTTATTGTCTGACAGATGCTCCTTCCAAACATTTACAGAGAGCTTGCTCACTCTCACACACCATATGTATGTGTTCAAATAAAAGGGGTGAGGCAGCTAAAAAAGCCAAGAGGAAAAAAAAGTTACATTTCATAATTGCACATACTCACACAGACTGTGTCTCCTGAAAATATGAATTAATTTAAAGTAGTACAGTGTATGTTTTTGTGTCCTACAGTACCGTATGCTCAATGATGAAAGGGCTCAGTAACATTGTGGGTTTTTTGGGAAGAGTGGTTTTGGGAAGCTCTGAGATTTTTCTTAGCTGTCTTCAGAGGAAAAACCTCAAATAAAAATCTTATTATTACAGTGGAATCATACACCCTCTGTAGCACAGTACGAGAAATTATGCATAATGCTGTGATCCAATTAAGAAATAATGTTTAATATTTATTTCATATTATTTTCCCCACCATCTTTCAAATAAGGGAAAAGGAGGGCTGATCAGGGAAAGAAGTTCAAAACTTTAAAGTGAACCATGAAGAAAGTCTTTCACATTCTTCTTTTGAAATTGTAAGGAATGTCACTTAAGTGCAGATCCCTAATGTGATTGTATAGTATATGGAAAAAAAAAATAAACCAGTCATTTTTCTGATGAAACTCCCAGGCCATCATAGATATATAGCTCAAGTGACCTGTTGTTGTCCACCCGTAGGAGATTACCAACCAACTCCTCTGATCTTTGTGGCAGTTTTAACTGGAAACTTATTCTTCCCTTTTGCCACCCGCCCCACGGTAAATCAACAAGAAAAACTAAGAGATGAATAAACTGAGATGTCTGAATGGTATTCCTATTGGTTTTCTCCTGGTAAAATGGAATCTATTTTAAGTTTTGACATCGATAGACTCAGCACCCATGTCCACAGTTCCTGTATATCTGGACAGATTATGGGAGCTCTATAGCAAGTTAAGCCACCTAGGCATGGATGTGCCCTTTACCTCCAAGGCCCCTTCCTCCACCCTGTGCTAGTACAATGTTTTCTATAACTCATTTCTGTTCCAGGAACTAGTCTCCACTATGAGCAAAAAGAAATCGTAGAAGCTTTTATACTAGTTCTTTGAGTGTTTATTGAAGCATATGTGAATTACAAGCAGCTCACTTCCCCCTCGGAGAATTCCAGATCCATGGGTTTATTAGAGAATTGAGTCTACTTACATCAGAAGAGGGTGATCTCTCCAGTTCATGCAGCCCTCTAGAAGAAGATTCCATAGATTTTAATGTACATTGTTCAGAGCACTGTTAAAACTACTTAAGGCTTAATTATTTATAAGTAGCTTTAAACTTCACTAGTTTTTTTGTTTTATCATCACATTTGCTGAGCCAGCTAACCTCACATTTTGAAACATACTATGACATTTCCAGGATAACGCTTAAAACAAGAACAAAGCACTCAGTTCTGGATCCATCACAGAATTATTTTAATATATCAGCCTAGTCTTTTCCTTTTGAAGAAAAATTACTGCCAAAAGGCACCTCACCAGACTAGATCATTCTGGTTCCATGACTACATGTTATGAGTGTATCCAGGAACAGGACAGTACATGCAGGCTACATCATTTGGCACAGCTGTTATAAGAAAAACTTACTGAATGATAAAAGAAACTGAGTCATTGGAGGTCATTAACTTAGAAAGTAATTTGGGATTTCTAAATACAGAGTAGACAAAATCACAGAAGTATATCAAAAATCACAAAAGTTACAGTTGATCTTCCCTTGGAACAAGAGTGTGGAATCCAAGAGGCTTTCCAGTTCTACAACTCTGTGCAATTGGTTTATCCTTCTTCTAGAGCTCCATTACTCCAATTTCTTGAGGTCATCATACTCTTCAATATCAGTTATGCAGTTTATGAAATACAACTGAGTCTAGATCTTTTCATTCTTTACCAGTGTGGGAATGAGATACTTTGAAGTATTTTAGTTTGAAACACCAAAGACAGATTCTTTCCTCAAAGACTGCAGATAGTTACAGGGAAACCAAATTATAGTCATTATTGCTGTTCTTTGGGCCTGATCCAAAATAGGGGGTTTTCTTCCTTACCATTCCTAAACAATGAGGGCTCTACCATAACAGATTTCTCGGGATTAAAATCTTCTGGACCTAGAGCCTCATTCTTATATTTGTTAAATTCATAATGAAAATGTTCGATAAAAGACAGTGACTGTATTTATTTAATTATTTTCTCTACTTTCCCCAGCCCAGCCCTGCCATGACTGAGGGAGGGAAAAAACACACCGAGTACTGTCAGAAAAACCTAACTCGAAGACTCCCAATCTAATTTACATGTTAGAAACTGTGCTAAGTATAACCAGGGCCTGATATTGTGGAGGACATCAAAACAGCATCTTACAGATGGAAAGGAAAATAATCAGATTTTCACTCAATGGATTACTTTCATGGCTGGGAAGCCACATATGCCAAATTTCTGTGGGCCAGCAGTTGAAAAAAAAAAATGAATGTGGGATCAGAACTTATTCTTGCATTCCTTCTTCAGTCTGTATGTCCCATTAGAAAGCAGCTGAAGACTCATGGAAAACTGGGAAAAAAATCTTCCATTTAGAAACCTTTTTGCCTGTATGTAAAATTGGACTTTTTTTTTCTCTTTTACAGCAAAATAGCTTTTGTTTTTCAAGTTTGTGTCTCTTCAAATACACCTATTTTCCATCCACATGCATACCTCTGTAGACTGAACAGTAAAGGGAGTCAATATACAAAACTGTTTTTACTTAAGCATTAGTGCCAAGGTGTGCCTTGTGTTTCATTTCACTTGCAAAAATGTGTGTAACTTCTGCTGTTTCTTGTCAGTAAGACAATAGTCTTACAGATCTTGCAGGCTTTACCAAGATTCACAGGACAGAAGCTGGAAAGTATAAAACAAAAATGGTGTCCAGGTGTTTTGGAGTTTTAAATAAGTCGAAACTGTGTCTAAAATATTCTAGGGGGTTTTGCTAAACAAAATAATTAAGAAAACAAGAAAACAAGGGAAAAAACCTTGCTTAAAAACATAGCAGTACAGCTGATATCATGTGGTATCTTGGATCGTTTACATCATACAAAAAATAATTATATGGGCATGTTTAGGCTATCACACAGGAATATGGCACATTAAAAGGATGTAAATTCCTTTTTGAACACTCAGAGAATAATTTAGCCCTTTTTCTGATAATCAACAAGATTGGCATGATTAGTTATGACTTTTCTATTAAACTGTAAGATTAAGAGAAAGGAGATTTAGCTAAAATGATTGATCTAAAGTTAGTTTGCCCACTATATTCAAAACAGAAACTCCAGAAATTCTGTGTTTACATTTCTGAAGTATTACCACACATTACAGTTTTACTAAAACAATTTCCATTTTCCCGGTGAGGAGTATATTTGCAACTTTGATATTCATAGGCTGTTTAATATGCTTATGACTAGCTAGCATCTCTTTCTCTACCAAGAAAAACATAATATTGTATTACTTAAAAAGGATTATACAGCCTTACTTTCTCTCCTGTAGTTACCATGGATACACATATGATTATGGGCACTCAGCAATGCCAAAAGGTTTGCATTCAGTCAAAACCCTCTGAGCTCTAAGTTGTAAAATCTCAGTAACAGGGTGGCAAGCAGCAGAATATTTTATCCTGGAGAAATTGTTGGATTGCTTTGGAAGCTTTTATAAAATAAAATATTCACTTAGGAGAATAAAGCATTCCAAGTATTGGATGC